ATCATCATCTACTACTACTACTACTACTACTACTACTACTACTGCTACTACTACTACTACTACTACTACTACCACAACAACTACTACCACTACTACTACTACTACTACTACTACTACTACAACTACTACTACTACTACTACTACTACTACTACTACCACTACTACTACTACTAATGCTACTGCTACTGCTACTGCTACTGCTACTGCTACTGCTACTGCTACTGCTACTGCTACTACTACTACTACTACTACTACTACTACTACTACTATTACTACTAATACGACGACCACCACCACCACCACCACCACCGCTACTACAATGGCGCCTGCACTCCGACGACCACCAACGCTGCTGCCAGCACTACATAAACGATTGATGGCAGCCGGAGCAACAGCCGGGAGCTAAGACGAGCGGCATCTTTGCCTCCGTTCCGTCCTCACGCGTGACCTCGTCGTCTTGGCCACATATCAGGACGTGAGTAGAAACCACGGCAATTCACATTATCTTGAAGACGATGTGGAGGAGGTCAAGCTACCAGATGCTACCAGTACTTGCCCATGTCGAAAATTACTCCCATTTGCCATCGCCACTCCTGGGATTATCATCGCCTTCGAATCTGTCATGATAGGCGACAAAGCCTATGCACATCGATGAGATTGAATCATCGGCAACGCTATCAGCATCAGATTCCCAAATTTGAAGCACTGCTTGCCTGACGCATCGAGTCTTCTTCCCGGAGCAGCTCAGTTCCTGGCGCCACATGGAAACTTCGACGGTAGAATGCTGGTGTTGCAGTAGTATGTTCTTAAGTCTGAATTTGCAGGAACCCAGAACCTCTCATTGAGTTGTGATTGTGGGGTGCAGCCCTTACCCTCCCCCCGTCAACACCCGAGGGTGTCCCCGCTTGCCCTCGAACCACTGACAAGGGCCTCGCCGTGAGGAGGCGAAGAAGAGGCCATCGGTGAGGGAAGCAATGCCCACGGCCGTGAAGTGGTAGGTGTCGACCAACAGATCCTCGCCACTTTCAAGGACTTTGGAGCAGCCAAAGCTTTTTTGACCAGGTTTCAATCCAAACAGGAGACGTTGACACCAAAATCTGACCTGTACCCAGCTCTGCATTGGCACTAGGACCACACATGCATCTGCATGTGCAAAGCAACAATATCCACAAACGTGTGATGCATACGACATAAAGGACATGCTTCCCACTAACGCCTTCACTCGATCGATCTCGATCGCATTCGCGACTGTGCTTCCCCTTTCAAACGGCATTGGAAGAGTTCGGCCGGCACGTGGCTTCGTCGGTGGGTACGACTGCCTTTCATCCGCCACCCGGCAGGAACCGTATATACCGGTACATGTAGGCAGACGGAAAATCAGAAAGAAAATGGCGGCAGTGGGCGGGTCGAAGAAATCCGATGGCTATCGCCTTCAGCCAGAGCTGCGAGCAAATTCACATGTGATTCGTATGTTCACGCCATGTCCTTGCGCACATGTTGAGCTGCACTACAATTGTGTTCAAATCCTGCTGTTGCTTGTCCCACACTCTTATTACATTTTGGGCAAGTACACGTGAAATGTGAACATCGACTGTATACAACATTTTAATAACAATGTCGGTTCGTTCACTCGATGATTCATTTGCAATCGTTTGCATGCATGCCTGGACCTCATCATGTGAGTGTATGTGACAGCTGGAGCCTCTGTCTGCGCTTGTGCACTCTCGCACGCTGCATGCACGCATGCCAGCGTAAGCGTAGAAGGCCTGTCAAGAGAGAGAGTCGAGCGTGCGTGTGCATGTATGCGGATACGACAGCTTACACCGGGGACGCACCAACAGAGATTGAGCTAAAAGTTATAAAGTCGTGCACAGGCCCCGCCCAACGCGGTGTCCTGCAGCTTCTCGTCCCATTTGCGAGAAACCATGGCCTGCAGCTGGGCCGGAATGCCTTCTACTGTGAAAAACCAAGAGGCGGCCAGAATCAACGATGGAGTGATCTGGAATGTGTGCTGGGTACAGAAGCCACATTCGAGCCATGCATAATGGCTCCTTCAGAAAGCTTCAGCCGGCCCTTCAACCCTAGAGCCCCATATCTCATGTCATCAGAACGGGTCGAAAGCTTTCAAGTCAAGCACAGCAACATGTTGCTGGCTCCTCCCTCTATCTAGCTTTATGGATATGGCGGTATGTTTGCCGTCACCGTCAAAGCTGCTCTCCAGTTTATACGACCTAGTCACCCTTAGATGGAAACAAAACCCAAGACCTGTGGGAAACCAAAGAGAGGACTTGACACTCTTCCTTCGCGTGTTTGCTAGCCAGTGCCTGCAGTAAACCTAGATTTAAATGCTCTGCATAACCAACCATGTTTCAAGCCTACCGCGACAAGTCTCAAGGCTAAACCTACCTCGAAATCACCCATCCGTCGATGGCTTCACGCTCGCAAAAAAACTGAGCCAGCCCTGACACAATCTGGGTGCGTCCACAACACGGTCACTTCGCAGGGGCCGGGGGCTCCTGGTAGCTGGCCAACCTCGAGATGGGTTGCTCGTAATATGGGAACCTGATTAAGAAACCTTGGGGTACTTAGTAGGGTTCCTTATATGAATCCTAATATATTGGGGTTATAGGGGCCAGGGCTTCGGTTCCTACGTTAGCATCTTCATAAGTCATGAGGAGAGGTCTTCGGGCTTTGATGAGGGCTCAAGAAATGCAGTCGCACATCCAAGGCGTAGCAAGCAGAAACTCCACTGGTGATTTTCTTGGAGGTGTTGTGCGTCAAAACCAAGGCGCAGCGGAGTCAAGACTGCTTTTGAGTCATCTATACTCTGGTATCTCTCTCGATCCACACAGCTTGTACATCCATGGAACAAAACTTCAACACCAACTCGGTCCAGGGTTTGCTGAGCCTTCAAGAGACTTATACGCTACGATTCACATCGTGAGCGCTAGCTCCCGGTGGCGCCCATCCATAGGCACCCACAGACCAAGGTGTCAAAGATGCCAACACTCAGTCTTCGCAGTCGTTTGTGACCGACACGACCGAGTTCTGAACACTGTTGCAGCAGTTGCCAGACTGTACACTTTCGTTTGCGCTGTTCTTCAGGATTCGCACTCCTGCTGCGACGTTAAAGCCGAGGCAAAGTGAAGCAAGCGGGACCTCAGGGTCGTTTGAACAGGTGCCGTCGAAGGTGAAGCTGTCGCCGGGCGGGCCTGCCACTTTCAGATTGAAGTTGCCTGTGCCGGGCTGATCACTACGGTTGACTTCGACCGTGTAGGTGCAAACAGGTGGCCCCGTTACCGTCGGGCCGCAGTCACTGCTTACCTGCAGGATGTGGTTCGTGACTCAGTTGCAACAAACACCACTACCGACAATGTCGCCGGTGCTGCTCTTGATGAGGCGGACTCCGGCTGGGACGCTGAAGTTCTGCATGCAGAAGTCGGCCCCGAAGGCATTCTCATTGTAGGTAGTGGAGCAGAACTCGTCGAAGTCTCGCCCAGTCTCAAAGGTGGTCCCCGGAGGCCCAGTCGCGGTCCGACTTTGCCAATGCGTGCTGGCACCTTGATCGCTGCGGCTGATCGAAATCAAATAGTTGCAAAGGACTGTAGTGGTAGTCGTGGTGGTCTTTGTTGTGGTCTTGTATCCATACTTACCGTACTGGTATGAGTAGGCTCCGTTCTTACCAGATCCACGACGACGACGCCAACGACGAGGCCTGTTGAGGCCCTGCTTCGAGGCCTTTGAGAAGTCACTAGAGTCCAGCTGCAGCAACGCAGTCTCGTCCGGCTTCCCGGAACTGCAACTATCGATGCTCGCTGTGGCGCATGACGTGGCCACCTCTTTAGCACACACCCGGCCAAGCAAAGTGACGAGCACAACCGTGGCCCACGGACACATCTGCATGGCGTGACGGGGGAGTCCTAGGTCTGCGTGAGCCGCAACAATACTTGAGCCGCGTAGGCCGCAGGCTTTGTGAGATGCCCTCATGCTGGAATTCTGCTAAGGTTCGCAGTTGCGAGCATGGCCTAGGCCTATGCTTTGCTGTCAAGGCAGGCACCACATTCTCAACAAAGGCTCCTGGATACTTCTATTCCCAACTGCGACTACTCCAGGTTCTGGTGTAGGGTCTGGTGCCTGAAGCCCTTCGATTGGTCGGACTCTCGCTGCGCCAACATCGGCAAAGCTGAACAAGGGGGCATTGCCCACCATATCCACTCGCCACCCTGCTTCAAACCGTAAACTGGTCCTGTCTCTTACACGGTGACAGGATGGAGCTGGGAATCGGTGCTCTTTATACCTCGCGCCTCCTTCCTCCATTGAAGGGGAACGGCATGCCCTTCCCTAGGGTTCCGGAATGGCAAACGACAGGCCTTCTGCAGGTCACGCAGCAAGTCTGTGCCAGAGAGCAGTGCCACCTGCCAAGTCAGAGCCGATGATAATTACGCTATTACGGTACAGAATTTGTTCCAGCCCTCTCCGGTGCCCGCACCCGGCAGGTCGGGGCGCCGGCACACGTTTCTCGAAACCCAGCTCGAACAGCACACCCTGACGGCTACGCCTCGTGGAGACAGGCTCAAACAGCAAACAGGCGCCACGGGAGGCCGAAGGCCCAAGGTTATAGCATATTGTTTGGAATGCTTGGCGGTGTGCTTGTCTGTGAATGCTCATAAGGGCTTTGGAACCATCAGGCAACTCTCGGGAATTATGAGAGCAGTCTCGAGAACCATTTCACGCAAAAACCACAAACAGTCGGGAACCGTTCCGAGCCGTTGGATCTGCACTGAACCGCTCTGCCACATGACCAATGCATGGGGAAGCAAATGGGTCCTAAGATTAGTGCGATGGTTCCTGAGACCACTGCAGCGAGAGTCAGAACAAAGACCGTATTCCAAACAAACCACCGGCTATATTGTACTACATTAATATATTACATAGTAATATGTCATGTTATATTATATTACCTGTTGTTCTCTTCCAAACTCTGTTTTGCGAGGCCAAAACGTGTCACGGTGTAGACTTGTTTTGCTCTTGGGTTTCGGCTCGGAGTTGCAAGTCCTAAACCCCACACTCCAATTCCTACACCCTAGAACCCTAAACAAGACTCTACCTGTAGTCTCCATTGTAGTTCCTTTTTGGGGATACCTTACAAAATCCTACCTATATATATATATATATACATATATGGTTAAACCAAAAAACCGAAATACAACGGAGACTCTAGGTAAGCTTAACCGAGTCTAGGGGAGCCGGGTCTTGGCGCTTCTTGGCGGTGCTTTGCGGAAGGACATGGAGGTCTGAATTCGATGGCCCTAAGACCTCCTGGACACCGCCAGAAACATCGTCTTGAGTCTTCATTCCAACTGCAATATTCAATCTGCCTAAATGTTGTTTTTGTTCGGGGAATGTTTTGGATGTTTCCTCCCTACCGTTGCCGGCGCATGACTTCAGGACTCAGTTGAAGCATCAGCCCGACTTGTCTACACTTCAGGGTTTGAGCAGGTCGGGTCGTCGGGTCAGATGCTTGGCAGCATGAGTAGTATGGTCAACTGCTAGAGCCCTGCGCGATGCGAACCAGTCGCGGTCCAATATAGCGACCTTAAACCAATCTGAATAGTGACATGCTCTGATAATCCCATTCTCTTTACACGAAAGTATACCGCAAGAGACACCATGTCAGTTGAAAGGTGCAGTCCTTGCAAGCTTGGCTCGTGAAGTTTTGAGAGCTCTTACCTTCGCGGAACTAAAGACCTTCGGGCATCTATCAACGGCTAATATTCATATTACTATCACTCATACTACGATTACCAGTACTATTAACAGTGGCGTTATAATGTCAAGGCTCTTCGGTTCTGGAAGATGTTCACGTCTAAGATCCTCGTGGACGCATGTCTCACAGCTTCGAGGTTAACCTGAACCTATCAAACGTGCAAATCCCAGGCCTGTCCACAGGGAACGGCCAAAGCATCAGCGATGCGCAGTCCTTGAAGCGAATTTCTGGTGGGCAACCTTTCTACTAACCTATAAAGCATTGGACGGCAATGGCCGTGAATTCACGATGGCTTACATACCATGCTGACTGAGCACATGCAGGCCTACCACTGTCGCCTGACGGCCGTTCCACATTCATGCCAAACCAGGCCGAGTTAGAGTTGCACATAAAACAGCAGCAGTGGAGCAGCAATGGCAGCAGCAGCCGCAGGCATGCTGCCAGTGAGCTGGTGGTTGTGGCAGCGGGTCGTGGCAGTGGTCTCCGTGGCAGCGGTGCACGTGGCGGTGGCCGGGTCGTCGTTGCAGTGGTCAAGGCGGTGGTGGCCCGGATGATGGCAGTGAAACCGAACTATCCAAGAAATCGCCATACAATAGACCCAACTAATTAGCAACAGCTGGAATCAGCAACAGTATTCATCGTAGTAGCAATGGTCCTTATCGACAATCAGCATCATCACTACACTGTAGTGACTACAGGCAACATTGCCATAGCCATGAACACCGTGTAGATCGTCCTCATTACTGAAGGCACAACCATAAGCACCATAAGTTTGTGGAACCAATGTCGCGAAGCAAAGTGCGGCCCGGTGGCGGAGCTGGGCGATGGACTCGCCTTCGGCTGGGGAGAGAAGGCTGGCATTAATTTCAACAGTTACTGCTTCACTCCAAACCCTACTCCGAATATTGCATGCTGTGGGCATTTTCTCTTCCTCGCCAACAAAGCCAGCCGGCCGAGAAAGGCCCGCGATGCAAAGTCGTGCCATGCTGTATAGTATAGAAGTTTGAAAGCCCAAAGCGGTCCCAAAAGTCCTGCTTGCGGGGGCACATATTCACAGTTTTGAGGGTGGAGAGAGCGGGCTCTACATCTTTGCCATGATCAGACAGGCAACCTCGGACCTCTTGGACTTTCCAGTCGCAAGGTGTGCTTGGGAATGCCAACAACTCGCAAAACTTCAAATCCCAAAAAGTGCTTCGAGGCAAGATATATATCTAGCCTAGCTCGAGCCCTGCATTGCCATGTTGCGGGGCATTCCCTTCTTCAAACTCATGACTGACACTGGTCAGCGAAATTGTCCTGGGATATGACGGTCTGCCGGAGTCACTCCGGAGGGGCACTTGTGGGCATGAGAAATTTCGGTGAGCAAAGCCAAGCTGCTTCACATTCCATCAACGTCAAATATCCTCTTGATTGCCAGAAGCTTGCCACCTTGTTCCGGAGGTGTCATTGTCGCTCCCTTGCAGCCCGATGGTTAAACCAAAAGTTTTTTGGTTAGGGTGAGACAGAGCAGCTCCTGTCTGCTTGAGGCTGTGCGATGCACAGCCAATCAATGCAGATCATATTTTATACGTTTTACACGTCATATCTGCGAAGATAGAAATGCCTGGCCCCCCCTTCGCACCGACATCGGCAAACATGTTCAGGGCTTTCTGGCGGATGCGTTTGTAGGTAACATCGGTAACAACGTTTGGCAAACGGCATCGAATGAGGCGCCAGCTCACAATCCAGGCCTCTAGGCAAACGGTCTGTTCCCCAGTCTCCGAATGTTCGATGAGATGACTTTCCTTCGTTAGCTATGTATCCGTATTCTCCGGAGGTGGCGTTGATTTTTTTGTAATGACTACGTAAAATGCTGATGGATATCAAAACTACCATACCGTTACCGCCACCACCACCGCCGTCTATCACCTATGCTGCTGTGCCAGCAGCGCGGCGACCACTGGCTAATGCCACAAGTAGCCGACCAAACTGCGACGACGACTGCCATTGCTGCTTGGACTGCTACTACTGCTACTGCTGCTGCTGCTGCTGCTGCTGCTGCTGCTACTCTTGCTCCTACACCTACACCTACTCCTACTCCTACTCCTACTACTACTACTACTACTACTACTACTACTATTACTACTACTACTACTACTACTACTACTACTACTATTGCCAGCCCATTTGATGCTGGCAACGTTTATCGTGGCGAAGGTCAGCTCTCGTTTCAGTGCTTGCTTTCTGGGTCTGGTTACCATAATTCCTAGTCTGGCTTTTTGCGGATGACACTTCCTGCTACACTTGAGATGACTTCGACATGATGGCGATTCCACCGGTCACCATTCTACTCGCTTATTGTCGTTGCTTTTGCTGTCGCTGTTGTGGTTGGTGCTCTCCTTACCTGTTGTGACTGTCGCCTACATACATACAGTTGTTACACCTATTCCTTCCTGTTCGTGTTCTTGTTGCTACTGGTGTTGTTCACACTGATGGCTTTACGGTCTTGCGGTGCAGGATGTCAGAGTGTCGCGTGATTACGACCCCCTGTATTTCTGTTCCTCGACTTGTGATCTTGAGTTCGGATCTCAGAAAGAAGTTGACTTTTCTTCGGTGAATTTAGATGTCCTCGAGCAGGTCTACTAACGACGACGCAACAGACCTTGAATCTGACAGCATGGAGTCGGTTGCCAGTACAATGCTAGCGCTTTTTGCTCATGTATCAGTGTCAACGAACCAAAAACCCAGTGGTTTGACACTGTTCTGGTAGAATGGAAGCCATGCATAGCGTATTTTCCTGAGTTTGCACTTATAGATATCACATTTCACTGTTTCAATGCGGCATCCATCGGCCACTCACGTGGCATTCCGCATGTGGGTCGGTATGGTTCCACGAGGTAGGGGTGGCAGCTGTTTCCGTCTGGTTGCCATGTTGTCGGCAGAAGGACTCCGAGACTGATGCTTATGTGTTCAAACCAACTGCCATGCTACATCTGTCACCAAAAGCCTGCTCTCACAGCAACCCATTGAGACGAAGCTCGACTTTGTTGCAACCAAGCATCTTGTCTGGGGCAGACAAGGCACCATTGACTCCAAGCCACAGTTGCACAGCGCATCCAACATTGTTGCGCTCGCTTAGCCAACCGCACCTCTAGTCACAGTTCGTCATTGATTATTTCCAAGCCAAGAAAATCGGGGAAACGCACCCAGGCCTACCACCTTCGAATGAAGGAGTTGGTGG